CTATTACTGTTTTTGGCTTCTTCAAATACATCTTTTTAAAACCTAGAAGACTATAATAGAAGATAGATGAGTTCTTGTGAGTTAAACTGCAAAAGGATTGAAAAAGGCAAGCCTCAAGCAGCTGCTTAGCATGCAAATATTCACTATAGCCCTTCTGCAAGAGTGGAAGGGGAAGGAGAGAAGCTGTGCGTTACATGATCCTTAGCTCTGAGCCACCCACAAATCTGGGCCAGAGCTTTTCTCCTGGAAATTAGCGTTGCTCCACTGACTAAAAGGTGCAGTGGTGATCTGCATGCACTGCAGAGCTAGCCGACCCAATTCCAAAGTCTTCCGAGTGTGTATTCTCAGTTTGGGTTAAAGGTGAGATGTGTCCAACCTCTTCTCCGCTGTCTGTATTTTTGTCTCTTTTCTTTTTCTCCTGGAGCTTCTGCAGTTGTTCCCCTCCTGCCTTACTTCAAATTGGCAGATTCATCCCTTGATTGGAGGGGACCTCTAGCGGAGGAAACTCAGGCATTTCCTCCCTCCCCCCGCCTTTTTTTTCATCCTATTTGCCTAAAGAAACAAAGCCTGCACAATCGCAAAATCCATCACTCAATCTGTCTGTTTGCCACTTCCCACCCTTAATTTCTGCATGCCAGCTTGAAGCCCTTCTGAAGGAAGGGGAAGCATTTTCAAGGTAATGAAATCCTCTGGGCTTTGGGAAAGCAGAGGCTGGAGGGAAGAAACTTAAATTACTGTCTTTGATGGAGGCACAGGGTTGGACAGCAGCTTGCTGGGCCATCAGCAGCCACAGGATGACTGGCCCATCAGCTCTCACGTCTTGACTGGCCAGTCAGCACCCAGCTGTAGACTGGCAAATCAGCCCACAAGTCCCCTCAGGTGCAATGCCCAGCTAGGCATAGGGCTGTGCTGTCCTTCGCTTGGTGGGGGGGAAAGCCAGGGCAGGGCTGGGGCTGTCACTGCAAAGGTGGTTGTTTGGGACACGGATGGCAACCTCTACGAAATGAGCTTCACGGATGGCTCTTGGAACACCTTAGTTTCTAGAAGAGGAAGGAGTGGCTGCCCCCCTCTCCCCAAATTCAGCCCCCCAAATAAGGAGTGTGGACTAGATTCTTCACTTTCGACTAATACCCTTGTCCCTGCAAAGTCAGTGCAAGTGCTCCCTGTGCAGAAGCTACTGCACAGTAATAACTTTCTCCTCCCAGTGACAGTAACCTTCCCCGTGCCAGTGTCAGATACAGGTGAGCCTGAGGGTCAGTGTTCACCAGCCAAGCTAACAAAGGAACTCGAGCCCTTTTAATTCACTATCTATGGCCTTGTAACAGTGCCTAGGATGCATGCTCAAAGAATAACAGGCCTTACCCTCTCTCCCCAGGCAGAAGTTTATGCTCCTGATGTGGACCAGATGCATGTTGTGGACCATATGAAAGGACAACCAACTCAGGAGAAGCGCAATGTGCTAGTTGAAAGTGCCAGAATAGCCAGAGGCAACATCAAGGATCTAGCTAAGCTGGATGTCAAGGGGCTGGATGCCCTAATTATACCAGGTAGGATGGCAAGTGGGGTCTGTAAGCCCAAGGTTTTAGGCTGGATGATCTCCAGAAGTCCTTTCCAACCTCAACTATTCTGTGATCTGGGGGAAGGGCTTAGAGTAATGCCAAGATCCTTGAGTGACATGGGATTTGTGCCCTGGAGAGGAACTAGGTGGAACCACTGGGGAAGAGGACAGTCTGGAGGAAGGAAGGGATTGGAAGGATGGCCATCTTCCATCTGTGCTGGTGCTAGTTTGTTTGGTTGTTCTTGTGTCACAAGAACATGTAGCAATGGAGAAGCTTACTCCGAAGAGGAGAGGGCAGATAACTGTTGATTGACTTATTATCCTCTGTACCATGTACTTCACTTGTCTCTACTTGATGAAAGGACGTAACCGCAATATCCCCTCCTACACCAACACGCATACCACCACAGAATCACGGAATCACTACCCTCTTATTAGGAGAAGCTAGGACAGAGAGAGAGAGTGACTCAAAAGTGGAAAGCTTCATTGCTCTGGTAATTAGTCTTTGGTGAAACTATGGCCTAGTGACTTCAGTGTGGATGGACTACCCCCGGAGCAAGGATTAAACGACAAGCAAAAACCTGTAAGCTTGCTCCACCATAATTCTGGACAGAAAAGCTCATAGGTGACACAGAGGGTAACAGAGCATTGATACCTCTCCAGCTCAGTTTTGTTTAGAAGCAACAAAGGTGCTTTGGAGTCTCATCTCCTCACAGTCAGGAATTGAAAAATATTCAGAGGCTCACAAAACTTTAGTTTGTATATTTTAGCTCTTTTGTCAACATTGGACAAATGTTTCCATCCACCAAATCCATTTTAGCATTCTACTGGGTCAATTCTGACATAAAAATTCTGCCCTTGAGTACTCATCTTCCTGTCTCATCCATTTCCCTTTTCTCAGGTGGCTTTGGAGTGGCTAAAAACCTGAGTACTTGGGCCACCCAAGGGAAGAACTGCATAGTCTCCAAAGAGGTGGAAGACATACTGAAGGCATTCCATGCTGCCAAAAAGCCCATTGGCTTGTGCTGCATTTCCCCAGTGCTGGCAGCCAAAATCTTCCCAGGCTGTGAGCTGACTGTGGGTCATGACACAGAATGTGAGAAGTAAGTAATCCCGAAGTGCTTATACAAAAATCTCATCTTGAACATTGCATGATCACATCCCTCCCCAATGTATGCAGCACCTGGTCTCATGTTCCTCTTGGTCCCAGGGTAGGAAAGACGTCAGACCATTGTCTTATGAAGTCAAGCAGGTGCTGGGCAGGATCTTGGTTGCACAACACTTGGTATGAGAGGGAGGGGTTTGAACTGCCCTTACTCATCCATGAAAGCTGTGACTGAGTTCTTCCAGGGGTAGGAAAGGATATACAGGTTCTTGCTGTTTAGCTGGGAAGTAAGCTCATTTGTAGAAAGCTGCTGAAGAAACCAAGCGCAAATGCGAAGTCTGGAGTGGGGCAGGGTTAAGTAGGGAATGTCTATAGCTTTGCATCAAGGTCTTATTTTGGCTTTACTTAGGATTTGTAACTTAGTGTAATCTGGAGGTTTTCCTGCTTAGTTCTATAGCTCCTGAGAAATTCCTCTGACAAAAAAAGGCTTGGATCCTATTGAGCTGGCTTTCTGTAGGGACTATTTATTTCTCTGTAGTAGCCTTGGAGTTGTTGCCATGAGGCATTCGCAGGCTTTTCACCCTAGGCCTCTGTCGGATCTTTCTCTGCAATAACAGCTTCTCCACACAGTGTTTATTCTCTTATTCTTGTAGATGGCCTTATGCAAAGACTGCTGAGACCATGAAGGAACTCGGTTGCAAGCATGTGAATAAACATGTCACTGAGATTCACGTGGATGTGAAGAACAAACTGGTGACCACCAGTGCCTTCATGTGTAATGCCCCCATTCATGAGATCTATGATGGTATTGGAAAAATGGTCAAAGAAGTGGTCAGACTTGCCTGAAAGCCACAAAGCCGAAGGAGCCAACTCTTCCAGAGTGCAAGCACTGAGCATAAGACAATGTCCTTCCCCCTTTACACCCACAAGTCAATAGGAAAACTGCTACTCTATAAATAGAGTTCTTTCCCCCACTAAACCACTGCTGGCTGCCGAGGAGGGAGAACACTGGAGCAATGAAAGCATTGCTGTGCCTTGCCAAGGACATATCACTTACTGAACTGACCATAAAATGGCAGTAACTGGAGTGTTGGTGTGCATCAAGCTGATATGCAGATGCCAGGTCTCCACAGGGATGAGATACAGCTACTGTCTTTGGTTGTGAGTAGTAAAGGAGTTGTCTGGGTCATTTCAGTCATGACTGGACTAACCTGGCATCTGCATATCATGTATAAACAGGAATTTGTCCCTTTCGAAGATACTTTTCAAATCTGTCTTTGCTGGTTCAAAGCTCCCCATGCACTACCACCTCATAGAATGGATGTATTAGTGGCCAAAGGAAGGAAAATGATTCTGCTACTGAATAAAAGTAGACACTTGCTATGTGTGCTGAATTCTCCTTCACTGAATGACATTCTTTTATCTTTGCCCTGTACTCCATATTGGGAGGCACTCTTAGTGCTACTGGTTGGCCAATGAATGGGGAGAATGGTATGGGAAGAAACCACCAATTACAAACCACACTTGTTTTGCTTGGATGCACCAGAACTCAGACTGGGGCATGAATATGGCATTCATTAGTGAAAAAGGGAAGTAGGAATTCTGGACTGATTTTCTTCTCCATGCTGAAGTAAATAACTAAGCCAACATTAGCATCAAAGACTAATGAGGGTGACTGAACACTGGAACGGGTTACCCAGAGAGGTTGTGAAGTCTCCATCCTTGGAGATATTCAAAACCTGACTTGACATGGTCCTGAGCAATCCACTCTAGCTCACCCTGCCTGAGCAAGGGTTGGACCAGATAATCTCCAGAAGTCCCTTCCAACCTCAGCTACTCTGTGATTCTGTAATGGGAAGAGGTTATATTCTGTTCTTGTGTTAACAGAAGACCTGCTATGATAGCATAGAGTATGTAGGAAGCAGCTTTCTATACTACTCCTAAGCAGAAAGAGTCCAGGGTGCTGTCTAGGCATCCTAAAGAAAGCGGTGCAAATCCTAGTCACTTTATTTAGAAAACGATCCACTGTGGAAGAAAATTCTGCATTGCAACGAGATAGCTGTCTAGCTCAAACTTGAATGGCAAGCTGTACACTGGTTTGGGTGATTAGAAATGCTTGGCAAACAAAGACACTAAAAATAACCTAGTATCACAGGCCAGGAAAGGACAATTTGTCTATGTAATCCAAACACTCTGCAGGAGCTGTAATGAGCACAGTAACTTACATTTGACTGAAACAACCCCTCTAAGAGGATCCAGTCTTGACTTGAAGACACTATTGACAGACACTATTGAAGACACTTTTTGACAGGTCATTCCCACAGTTAATCCACGCCATTTAGAATAAGCCATGTTTTATTTCTCTCTTGTAGTTGAAGAGTATACCTCCAGCACCTGGATACTGACAGGTTTGTCTCCATTAGGTTGAAGAGCCCTTTAGATGGCAGCTGGTATGTTCTCATTATACAGGTTATTATTATTCAAGTAGCATTATATAATTCTTTTACAGACTGAGCTGTTCAGTTCTTTCAGTGTAAGACATCTTTTTTCTAAGCCCGCAACTATCATCTGTCACTCTTGTAAGCAAATTCTTCAGGCTTTTAAATCCTTTTCAAAACACTGGCACATTTTTACTCTCATCAACATGGCAGGACCCTTCAAGACTCCACTGAGGACCAGAGTGGGAAGGAATTTATCCACATGCTGCAGCGGTGCTGCAAAGAGGGGCACCAACGTTTCTGGGAGGGACAGAATAGCCCAGAATCGTGTAAACCACCATTTTACTCAGGTTTCTTACGAAAATGGAGCTTATCCAATCACTTTTTTTCTGTGGTACTTTTTTTCACTGATCCCCCTACCAATCGTTCTCAACCCATTGGCTGTCTTCCATAAAGTTTCCAAAGGTGTAAAAGCTTCCAAGATATAAAGCGTCAGCCAAGTGTGGGAGAGCAGCTGCCAGGGAGAGTAGGGAAAACAGTTACCATCATGAAAGGCCTGCTGACTGGTCTCTTGGTCCTTAGAGAATCCCTCTCAGAGAACTGTCGCGAGTATCCCAACCTCAGAACAACATTCAACTTGAATTTGCATTTTATTAGGCAGGAAGCACAAACAAATAGTAGACCTCATTACATCTCCTGGCCTCAGAGCTGCAGAATTTTTTCCCATATGGCTTTTTCTGAAGAGGGATCCAAAGCCTAGGACATACATTACCTTACCTTACAAAAGCCCTGCATCCAATTCCTTGAACTCTATCTTTTGCACAGATGCAGGAGTTCAGGAAAGGTACAGAAGTTTCTGACATCAGTACTAACTTCTGAGAGTTATACAGCGTATTCTGAGAGTAAAGAGCATTTTGACTAATTTATTGGATAGGCTGAAAAGCAACAGGCTGTAATTACAAGAAGGAGAACTCCAGGCACTAGCTGGAGAATTTGAACCAATTTCAAACTTAGAACCAACCCACACAGACATAGAACTAGTAACAACATTGTTTACTGGGATGTTGAAAACTGCTTGCAATAGCAGAGCACAAAAATCGACTCCACAGATAAAACATTAACAATATCTTGGTGTGTTTCCACGCCTAGAAAAGGCAACAGAGTAAAACTCACAAAAGCTAAGGAAGTTGGAGAAAAGTGACGTTGCTACCTATTGTTTACAATGGAACAGGAGAAGAAAAATAATCATGTAGTTATGGGTCAGTCAGCATCAGGATCCGCAGGAACTCCTGCTTATTCACTTGCCCATCTCCATCCAAATCTGCTTCATCAATCATTTCCTGTGGGATAGCAATTTTGAGACCAGATTAGGTGGGCTCTGAGGGTGGCGACCCAGAAAGCCTGAACACCACTTAAAATCTCAGCAAGACTTCAATTTAATCCCAAGTGAGACAGAGACCTTGCACTAGACTTTAGCATTTGGACACATGATGGAGATTTGAGAGGAGGAAGGTTTATAAATCAGAGCAGCAGTGGTGAGTTGTCCCTTGCAAAGCAACACGGAGCATTCCCCCAAACCTTCCTTTTCTCTAAGGCATGCCCCTACCCCCCCAGAGCAGAGCACAGGAGGAACGTGCTTGTACTTCACAAACCTGCAGCTCCTCATCCGTGATGTCCTCCCCAACCTCAACAGCCACCAGCTTGAGTTTCTCGAAGGAGATCTTGCCAGTGCCATCATGATCAAATAGCCTGAAACCTCTCAGGATCTCCTCTTTCGAATATGGTTCCGCCTTAGCAAGGAAACGAAAAATGCCACCATGCAAGCATGACATCATACCACTCTACAATCGCTAGTCAAGCACTTCAGCCAGCAAACATTTGGAATCAAAATTCAAGACACCATTTTGGGGAAAACATGGCCATAACAGAGTTATTTACCACTGCTATTTCACATTTGCTTTTATTCCCCCCCTCCATGTTATTGTGTATTAAAGGAAAAACTCCACGCAAAGTTGTTTGAACAGCATGGGGACTTGGCTGGGAATATCCTGACCATGCTTTGTCAGGAAGAGGGGGATTAGCAGAACTACTGGGGGAGGAAGCAGTTGCCAAGAATGAGCCAATGGCTACAGCTATATATTACTTCAAAAGTGAGCCTGCCTGTGCTCCAGCCCTCACCTTGCACACAGGCAATGCATATACAAGCTGGCATTTAGGTCTGGGCTTTGACTGAACTCCAGAGCATTAATCGGGGGAAAACTTGGATCTATACTTACCTCTTAGCACGGGTCCAAGCATAGCCCACACTGTGGCAACTATGATGGCAGTGACAAGGGAATGGCCACACCAGATATGCCCCAGTCACCTCCTGTGCATCCCACAAAGCCTTGCAATGAAATCACAAAGATGACAGAAGCAGGACCAGGCAAGTTGGTGCTCTTCTGGAATGGCCTATGTCTACGCACAGTCGGGACTAGAGGATACAGAGGTGTTTGAGTCACAGGAATATCAGAATGGGTGATGTGGACAAGGGAACATGATTTAGAGCTGATACGGACAAGAGCTCTTAGGAAGCTCCACAAAACTGAGTGGATGCTGCTTGCAGGAGGTGCTGACAGTGTCAGTGGGTTTTGAGGAATGATTTCTCTACAGATGGTGAATTGCTCACGTTCATCTGATGTACGACATTTGTTTACTGCTGTCCGAAGAAAATAAAAAACCGTGTGACTATGGGCACAGTACCAAAATTTTGTGTGAAAAGGTTTAAGGAAGGAAAGGGGGCAGCATCAGTCCACATGGTATGTTGGCCTCTGCAGTAGTTTGAATGCTAAAAGATGGACCCTTTCCTGGATTGTTCTGAGTCCTTCAGCCTCCCAGTGAAGATCCCAGATGTTCTGTCTGCTCAGTGCACTCCAGAACAGGGAGGAGCTGTCTGCTAAAAAGCAGCTATTCTCTAGCTGAGCTAGCTGTCTTGCTTTCTGCATAGTCCAAACAAAGAGAAAGGAGGGCTAAGCACAATTCACCCTAGGGTAGATATCAAAAACAGCTTGGATGAAACTGAAAAACTCCTGTTTCTCCCCTGCAGGGAGCCAGAGTGCTATTGTGGGGACCTGCACTGTAAAGCTAGGCAAGAGAAATCTGTCTTTGTGACCAGCCAGATTCACATACCATTTTCTGAGTCATCACCTGCAGAAACGACTCAAAGTTTATCTTCCCTGACCCATCTTCATCAACTTTAGAGATAATCTTCTTCATCTCTTCTTTCCTGAGTTCACAGCCCAGAGCTGTTAGGGGTATCTGCCAAAAGAGAAAACAACCCAGTGTCTGTCTGTCTTGGTGGACAAGTCAGACAGAAGCAAAGAGGCGAAGATGTCTGAAACGACCAGGTACACGAAAGTGGAGGTGGGGGGAAGCACTAGAACTTTTTGCCACATTGGAAACTATATGCAAAGGTAACAAGACAAAAAGCCTGCCAATAGAGAGATAATGAAGCAGGGCTCTTCTAGCTCTGCCGACTCTGCAATGAATCCAGGCCTATGCTAACAGGCTGTGCGGGTCCATGAGACTAATCTTGATGACCAAATCCGCTTAAGAAGTTTCAGCCCCCCCTCTCCCCCCAAGTCCTGTTCCAGATGCTCATTTTTTGCCCTCATATTGCAGTTTAGCACCCAAAACACTTTTTTATCAGGCCACAGAGTAAAAGATGTTGCTGAAATTAGATTACTAAAAGTAACACTCCTTGGAATGCGAAGGCTATCTCAGCTCCCGTTAGAGGTTCAGGTTGCTACTTCTCAAGGCACAGTCTCTAGTAGCAATACCTGCTTGCTGCATGACCACCCTTTACCATTCCCAACAGCTCCTTCTTACTCCCCTGCTGCAATGCACTGCACCTTTGTCTCTACAGAACAAGGTCCTGTAGTTGTTTAACTTCAGTAGCATGAGATTGTAGAAAGTTCAGAGGAGAACTGCAGGCAAAGGCCAACGAGAAGGAAGGCTCCAGTCCCTCCAAAGAAAACCTGGCTAAAAAGTTGGCACGATCCCTACATCACTGCTGGCTGCATAATCACTTGGAATTAAGGCAGCAAAGTCTGTTAGCACAGCAAGCGGTCCAAAAGCAATGGAAGGCAAACAGTAATTGCTTTGTAACAACATCTTAGCAGCATTTATCAGGCGCTTGTAAACGATTAGCCCTGTTTGCAGCAGTTATGCTTACTGCCTGTCGCTTGTGTTTGACTACAGTAATTCAAGTTCCACGTGCAACTATGGTCACAAAGCAACGGTGTCATTCCTCCCAGCCTCAGGGGATCCCTGATTCTGACATGGCTTCCTCACATTGTACAAATACACCCCTAAGAGCGGCAGGCCGAACGGCACACTTCAAGTGCAGCGATTTCTGCTGTCCCTTGTAAAGCCTGTTAGAGGGTAGGGAGTTTAGACAACTTTGCCTGCATGTCCTATAGCAAGTTGACGTTCCCCCGAACCTCCTGGGGAAGGGGGCTGCTGCGAAGAAAGACAGGGCAGGAGACTCCCGGCATTTCTTCCGCAGCACGACAAAAGAAGGACCTGAAACACCCTACTGAGCTGGGCTGAGTTAGGACCGGCAGCTAGGAGATGACAAGCTCTACACCCTGCTATAAATTCCCAGCGCAGGCACAACACCACTGCAATAATATCAATTTCCGTCTGTGACAAGGGTAGCTAAGGACGCGCTGCACACCTGCGCCCTGTTTTAGGATCGTCTAAATGACGTCTACACGGAGCTAACTTGGAGCAGAGGTTAACGTTAGCCTGGCGCACAGATGAAAGCGTGACTCAGCAGCACGGCAGGCAAGTGGGGGATCTCTAGGTATGTGGCTGACGGTCCTTGCTCCTGCCCGGATTTTCTTCTGGCAGAGAGGCAAGAAGCAAGGCGGCCGCGCGGGGCCGCGCGGCGGGGC